CACTTGCCATTTCAAACACTTTTGTGTTTGTTCCTTAGTACTTATATTGTTGTCCTTGCTATTAAAAGGTTCTTCCAAACTCAACGGAACCGCTAGGAGTTGCTGTTTTGAGGTCTCATGGATTCTTTACACATCCATCTTGGTATTGGATTGGAGTAGGAGCTTTGGTTGGATACATACTCGTATTCAACATTTGTTTCACTTGGGCTCTCACTTATCTAAACCGTTGGTACCCTAACCTTACCTGCACTAGCTCTTAGAAATGAGAATTTAGCTTAAACTACCATTAAAATGTTATGCAGCGTTAGAGAAGCCACATTCTGTAAAATCAGAAGAATCTCAAAGCAATGAACATGACGAAAAGACTGGAGAATTTGTTCAGTTAGAGAACCAAGGAAATAGCTTGATTCTGCAAATCAACACAGGTGATATATCCTCTCAAACACTGTTTGTGTATATCTGTTTTGTGTGGAATTGTATATTGAAGACCAAATATTACCACTTTTTATGAAATTTTTGTGGACATGCAGATAATGCAGAAGAATGTATTCATCATAACAATAAAAGAGGAATGGTTCTTCCATTTGAACCACATTTCATCACATTTGATAAAATAACGTACTCTGTAGATATTCCACAGGTGATTGGACAAGTTTAAAACATGTTTGATATTAGACAAGTTTGTGCTACTCCCAAATTATGAGTAATTTTGTGAATCCATCTTGCAGTCAATGAAGAACTCCAAAGGTGTTGTTGAGGATAAATTGGTGCTCCTCAAGTGTGTTAGTGGTGCTTTTAGGCCAGGTGTTCTGACAGCTCTGATGGGAGTGAGCGGTGCTGGTAAAACTACACTAATGGATGTACTGGCTGGTAGAAAAACTAGAGGATATACTGAGGGAAATATTTCAGTTTCTGGGTATCCAAAGAAGCAGGACTCATTTGCCAGAATTTCTGGATACTGTGAGCAGAATGACATCCACTCTCCTTATGTTACTGTCTATGAATCCTTGATGTACTCAGCATGGCTTCGTCTATCTACGGAAATTAGTTCTGGAACCAGGAAGGTTGGTATCTGCTAGTTAAGAATAATTTTCTACTCTTTACTTTCTTTTAATGCAATTTAAAGTCATGTGCTTGAACTGATTTTAAGAATTGGTTGTAGATGTTCGTTGATGAAGTGATGAGACTCGTGGAGCTGAATCCATTAAGGCAAGCACTAGTAGGGTTACCTGGTGAAAGTGGTCTCTCAACCGAGCAGCGGAAGAGGCTGACCATTGCTGTTGAACTAGTAGCAAACCCTTCTGTAATATTCATGGATGAACCAACTTCAGGTTTAGATGCAAGAGCTGCTGCTATTGTTATGAGAGCGGTTAGGAACATTGTGGACACTGGAAGAACAATAGTGTGCACTATTCATCAGCCAAGCATCGACATATTTGAATCTTTTGATGAGGTGAAAACAGATATTGACTTAAGACATTGAAACTGGAACTCCATGTGTTTTGTCTGTTCTAAGTGATTAGCATATGTAACATGTCATTGCAGTTGTTTCTAATGAAGCAAGGAGGACAGGAGATATATGTAGGGCCACTAGGTCGTCATTCTTGCCATTTGATCAAGTACTTTGAGGTAGAGTCTGATTGAAACTCAGGAAATTTCAATGATAAAATATGATATTCTTATCTTTTCTGCTTCCTCTTTTTTCAGAACGGTTTTCTTGTACATGTAATTTTCTGTGCAGGGAATTGAGGGGGTGAGCAAAATCAAGGATGGCTACAATCCAGCTACTTGGATGTTGGAAGTTACCACTTCAGCCAAAGAAACAGCATTAGGAATTGATTTTGCTGATGTTTATAGAAGTTCTGAAATTTATAGGTAGGTTTATCAGACCTTGAACCATGCATTAACTTTTACTGATGAAAGTGATTTCATTTCAGGAGAAACAAATCCCTTATTGAAGAACTGAGTACCCCTGCTCCGGGTTCAAAGGACCTCTACTTCCCTACTCGATATCCTCAGTCATTTTTCACTCAATACATGGCTTGCTTATGGAAACAACATTGGTCATACTGGCACAATCCGGAATACAATGCCATAAGGTTTATCTACACAACTGTCGTAGCCTTGCTGCTTGGGACAATGTTCTGGAATCTTGGCACCAAAATGTAAGTCACAGTGCAGAAGTAACATAGATGTAATAGAAGTTGAGATTCTTGCATGAGTAATTTTGAGTTTGTTAATTTCAGGACCAAACCGCAGGAGCTCTTTAATGCAATTGGTTCTATGTATGCTTCTGTTCTCTTCCTTGGTATTCAGAATGCTATGACAGTGCAGCCGATAGCGGCTGTTGAACGAACCGTCTTTTATAGAGAACAAGCTGCTGGAATGTATTCTGCCTTGGCATATGCCTATGCACAGGTGACTTATTCTATATGCATTTTACAAACATAGTTATTATTATGCATCATCTTATCTTATTTGTCTTGTGCTAATTCGATTATTTGTTGTAGGTCACAATTGAGGTCCTTTATATTTTTGCACAAGCTGTGATCTATGGTGTCCTAGTTTATGCCATGATTGGCTTTGAGTGGACTGTGGCTAAATTCTTTTGGTACCTTTTCTTCATGTTTTTCACATGTTTGTACTTCACCTTCTATGGCATGATGGGGGTGGCCTTGACACCAAATCAACATGTTGCTGCTATCACTTGTAATGCATTTTATGCATTATGGAACCTCTTTTCAGGGTTCATAATCCCACGAACCGTAAGCGTTGCATGCCCTTTAAGTTCCTACTACTGCAAGTTTTTTTTTTCCAGTTAATAGAATCTGTATTGATGACAAATTTTCGTTCTTGTTCCTTTGGATGCCATATCAGAGAATTCCTATATGGTGGAGATGGTACTATTGGGCATCCCCAATGGCTTGGACCTTGTACGGATTGACTGCATCCCAGTTTGGAGATATACAGGCCAAGCTCAACACAGGTGAAACAGTGCAAGAGTTTCTGAGAAATTACTTTGGTTTCGAACAAGAATTTGTGGTAGTGGTTGCAGCTGTAGTCGTTGGATTTACACTACTCTTTGCATTTACCTATGCCTTGTCCATCAAGAAGTTGAATTTTCAGTGGCGATAAGAAATTCTGTATCAATTAATTTCAATCAGCATAGTTTAGGCTAGGGTCTCAATAGCAAACATGTCAACTTGTTGACCATTTGGGACTAAGCCTCATCAACTTTAATACTTGTAAAAAATCCACCTAAGAACGGAGGGAGAAACACTTCCGTCAGCATGTACGATTTGTGTTGTTTTAAATAATCTTTTGCGGCCGTTTGCAGCGATTTTATGACATTTAGTGACAAAAATTTAGTCTCCAGATATGAAAGTCGCTTTAGCAGCAGTTTTTTCCGTCGCTAACCGTTGTAGATTCATGAATTAGTAGCGGAGATTAAAGCCGCCGCTAAAGGTTGCATAGAATGCCGTACTAAAATCCTTTAGAAATGTGAGCTTTTACCGTCCTTCCCTTTTTACGCATTATAATTTTGGGACGCTACTCTACTTTTAAAAAGGGCAAATTTTGTCAGATGATCCTTTTTTTAATTTTAAAAAACCATAATGTACAAATCGGTGAACAAGAAATCCACCAAATATACAACCACCACAATCTTAAAACTCAGATACCCCTCTACCACATTTCACTTGCAAAACTATAACTCTACAATACTACTGCTTTCCAATCCATAGATTAGTAAAAAATAAACGCCCTAAACTCTAAAGATGTAGATGCCCAAGACGATGCCCGAAACTGTATACGATGTCTCATAACTAATCTATCTCATCACCTTTAACAAAAACAAAAACCCTCCTATTCCTTTCCACCTACAATACCCGAAAAAACTGCCAACATAGCACATCTTCCCAGAACTTCTCGCTATTTCTTTCCTCCAAAAAGATTGAACCTCTCTCCAAACAACGCACTGCATGAGGCAAGGAATGTCCCATGCACTACAAGTTGGACTGTGAGTTAGCCCCATGATACACTCAAAGTACTGTCCTTCCTCCTTCTCAACCAATGACCCTTGTAAGTTTAAAAAGGGCACAATTAAAGAGGTTTTCAAAACTAAATGAGGAAAATTACATAAATAGTTCAATGGGTTATGAAGTCTTAATATGTAATAAATCTTAGTTATATACACACCACTCAGTTTATGGATTTATGTATAATACTTTAACTAAGTTACACAGCCAGCCACCAATACCAATATCAAAGTCAGTACTTCAAGTTACATAAAGACAGGTTTAGTGAACCAGCCACCAATACATGAAACCAGCTTTTTCTTTTTTTGTCAGAAAGTGATAAAATTCTTTGCAAAGACCCAAAAAAGGGCATCAAAATATACCAACAAAACAAGGCAGAACAAAACTAAGCCCAAACAGACCGTTTCAATGAGATCATTCTACACCAGAACAGAAAACTAAAATCGTAGATACATTGTAGAAAGAAAAGTTACCAGAATTGGAGTTTAAACAATTTCAATTCAACTATATCAGTATATCATTTGTGAACTAGGATCAAAACCTTCATAAAATTAAGAACATGCTTCGATTTCAATGAGGATACATAGACCAAAATATGTGTGAACTTACGAACATTACATGTTGTTGAGTTTTTTTTATAAGAAACCAAAATTTAATTAAACAGCCACAATGTACGAATCGGTGAACAAGAAATCCACCACTCTATCTCATCACCCTTGACATCATAAAAAAAACTCTCCTATTCCTTTCCACCCACAATACCCGAAAACTGCCAACCTTGCACATCTTCCTAGAACTTCTCCCTGTTTCTTTCCTCCGAAAAAATTGAACCTCTCTCCAAATAATGCATTACATGAGGCATGAGGAATGTCACATGCACTACATGTTGACTGTGAGTTAGCCCCATGATACACTCAAAGTACTGTCCTTCCTCCTTCTCAACCAGTGACCCTTGTAATTTTAAAAAGGGCACAATTAAGGAGGGTTTCAAAACTAAATTGAGGAAAATTACCTAAATCTTAGTTCAATGGGTTATAAGGTCTTGATATGTAATAAATCTGAGTTATATACACACCACTCAGTTAATAGATTTACATATAATACTTGAGGTACACAGCCACCAATACCAATATCAAAGTCAGTGCTTCAAGTTACATATAGTTAGAATCATATATTCACTACTCCAACACAAAGTGGGAAGGATGAAAATTTCGATTTACGACAAGTTATATATCTGGAAAATAAAAAATTTAAATAAAAAGAAGATGCAATTTTGAAACCAGTTTCTTTTTTTCTTTTTGGTCAGAAAGTGATCAACTTCATTACAAAGACCCAAAAAAGGGCATCAAAATACATTAACAAAACTAAGCTTAAACAGACTGTTTCAATGAGATCATTCTACCCCATAACAGAAAACTAACATCTTGCCGACTTTGTCCAAAACTGAAACCAGTAAGATATCTGAGAAATAAAAAGGGTGCAACTTTTCTAGTGAAAAAGCCAGATTTTATACCTTGGCTTGGACAAATTGAGACGATGGTACAGTGCTTTTCGCCTCTCTTCACTTATCTGATAGAAGTGTCAAGGCGATTTGGTACCGTTGGAGCCCAACCGACGTCGCGGTGGAGAATTAGGTTTAGGGATTTCGTTTTGATCGATTTTGGGGATTACAGCAATTGGGTTTTTCTTGACCAAGATTAAAAAAGAGAAGAAATCGGGTTTTCTGGTGACCCAAAGCCCCAAGGATAAGGCCGTATTCAGTAATGAGCCCATTTCATGTTTGGACTTTTGACTTTTGACCCATAGTATAGAGAACCAAACTGTTGGTTTAGGTTTTTTTTCCCCTCATTTTCTTTTTTATTTAGTAGCTTACTTACTCCTTTTTTTTTATTTTTTTTTTATGGATATATGTTTTTAATTTTCCTAAATATAATTTTAGCAAGTTTGTTTCAATAAATAATAAGAAATTTGGGTTAATAATTCCTTAACAACATAGATAGGGAGTAAAATACGTTATTCAGCAAAATTTCAACAAAAGTTTTGATGAAATATTCGGTAATTATAGAGTATTTGAATACTAATTAATTAAAAAAAAATTAATGTGTAGTATTGTATTCAATAATATGTGAAAAACACGTGAATTTTGTCCGTTTTATTTATAAATTTATAAAAGTATATGTATTAAATGCGAACAATACATTTGTGTATAAGATGTGTATAGTACATTTGATTTTGAAAAACCCGATATTTTTACCCTATCTTTGGGAAGCGTATGTCTACAATACCCGTACTATACCCAAATTTATTAACTAATTCCAATATTGGCCCGAAAAATATGACATTACAATGTTCCATTGAGGCAAAAGTCCAAAAAAGTTAGATAATAGTAAGCTTGGAAAACAAGAAAAGAAGTAGAACTAGTGGCGCTGAATCATTGAGGCAAACATTAGTAGGGTTACATGATGAAAATGGTCTCTCAACTGAACTGAACAGCGAAAGAGGTTTGAATACATAGCAGCACTTGCATACCATGCCTATAAATAAGCCTTGTGGTCACATGAAAGTTGAACACGATATCTCCATCAACACTAGAAAATTAAGAGAATTGCTGAAAGAAACTCTCTACTTGAGTAAAATTTGTTAGTGAAAGTAATTCGTTTCTCGTTTCAGGAGAAACAAATCACTTACTGAAGAATTGAGTATTGCTGCTCCTAGCATCCTCAATCATTTTTCACTCGATGCATGTGGCTTGCTAATGGAAACAATATCGGTCGTATTGGCGAAATCCAACGTAGAGTGTCATAAGATTGATCGATCTACACAATCATCATACAAAGCCATAAGTAAATCCATGTAACAGAAGTTGATGTTCTTGCATATGTAGTTTTGAATCTGTTAATTCCATGACAAAGCCGCACCGGAAGATCTCTTTGATGCAATTGGTTCTATCTATGCATGCCTATGTTCTATCTAAGTAGTTGAACGAATGTTTGTTTATAGAGAACGGGCTGCTAGAATGTACATATATGCCTTTGCACAGGTGACTTCCCAAGCATTTTATGCACTACGGAACTTGCTTTATCAGAGTGCAACTGCTTCATCTATAACTTGGTAGCCACATAAACTCTACCTATACCTTTAAGAAGTCAGTTTTTGAAGGAACAAAAAGAAGCAGTGATTTTTTACCAATTCTATTTAATCTTTTGTTCATGTTTAATGAATGGTTTTGCACAACTATACAATCTGTTACTTGTATTGATGGTAAATTAATTATTCTTCCGAGATTTACTAAATTGCATGTGGTATTCTGGTCGAAGGAAAGTGAACGGCATCCGTAAATCAGAAAGGAAAAGGACTTCAACCGGCAAAACGTAGATAATTGTGTTTTAATTGACAGTTTTCTATCTTTCGCTGCGGTTTGCGACGATTTTCTAATCTTTAGTGACAAATTTATGGTCCCAAATTATGCAAATGAAATTTAGCTACGGTTTTTTTCGTCGCAAAGCGCTGTTAAAATAATTCTGCGACGGTTACCCAAAAACCGCCGCTAAAAGTTGCAAGCAGTGTTTAATTCCTTCTCCCCATTTGAAGGTCGTTGTTTGTGTAAATATAAAATTTAATTTAGTTGCTGTTTTAAGAAAATTGTTGAACACATAAATTCTGAGGTGTACAAATTGCTGTGATAAATGTTATCTATATTGTTGTAAATTAAGGGGGAAGAAATAAAACAGTCGCCATCCATCAATAAGTAATTCACTATAAATGCCCACTCACGGTAGTAAGATTTGCCTGCTAAAGAAGACCACCATTAGAAATAAAATGAAAGGCAATGCATGTGCAAACGAACATCAAATCAAAAGCATCGTTGCAAGACTAGGGAAAATAGCAGAATTGACGTTTAAACATTTTCAACTCAATTATTTGTGCACTATGATTTGGAAATAAGACATGACGAACTTAAAATAATGTCCTTCCCCTTCTCCGCGAACGACTTTAATGTAACGTTCTTCCCCTTTCATAAACTTTCTGATGCCTAATATGGCCAGAACATGGTTAAATATATGTTTTCCTAGCTGCATTAAGATAAATTTGATCCAATCTTGAAATAGAAAACTTTGAAGGATAATTAAGTAGATAGCTTAAACATAAAGAATAATTCTACTAATTTTTAGTACATATTTAAGTTTATAACCCTACCTTTTTGTGTCTATCAGACCAGACACAGATAAAGCTCACTAAGAAGGTAGCATATATACATACAAACGAAGTGTTTTAACTGAAATTCGAACTCAACAA